TGGTAAAGAAATATGCAATCTGCAAAGAAGAAGAAACAAAGGGCAAGGAAATGGTGCCATGTTTGAGATGATGACGAGTAAGGTGACAATCGATCTCAATGTGCTTATTTCGATCATGAAAAACCGAGTTGTAGCAATCTGAATAGAACTCTGGTTGTCACAATACATAGATGGGATGAGAAAAAGAAACGCCTTATCTGCAAGTAACCAATGTAACCAAACAATCTCTTGGTAGTAGATGCCATAGCATGATATTCTCTTCGGTTGAAGATTGAGAAACATGGATTGTTTCTTGCTCTTCCAAGAAATAAGAGAATCACCCAAAAAGATACAAAAACCAGTAACAGACTTGCGATCCGTGGGATCACTGCCATGATCACATCAAGTGTGCACACAGCTCCAAGGAAGAGGTGGATGGAAGTAAAAGACTCTGAAAACTGTACCTCGAGATACTGCAAAATACGAAAAACAGCTACCTAATGAACTGTAGTAGGAGAAGTAACAATCTGACTAACAACATGAACAACATATGCAATATCTGGACAGTAATAGTGAGATATACCAAACTCCCAACAACAGTACGGTATAAAGTAGGATCTGACAAAGGTAAACTTCAGAAGAAGAATACTTTGCATTAACCTCAATCGAGTATCGACAGTCTTATTATCAGTAAGTCTAGCTCCCTCAAGAATATCTGCAACATATTCGACTGAGAGAGAAGATAACCTCTAGGTGAGTAGGCTACCTCATATACCCAAGAAATATCGTAGAGAACCAATCCTTCATTTCAAACTGTTAGCTAACTCTGTCTTCAAAACTGAAATACCACAATATCATCACCAGTATAATCATGTCTCAACATATAAATAGAATGATACGACCTGCATCAGTGCACTTAACAAAAAGAGCAGAATCATGACTACAAAGCAAATCCAAGGGAAGAGATCACAATAGAAAATTTCTCAAACCAAGCACGAGGTGCTTGTTTAAGACCATATAACGCTTTCTTCGTTTGCAAACATACCCGAATCATGTGAAACACCAGGAGGGGCGCCATATAAACTTCTTCTTGAAGATCTCCATTCAAGAAGGCATCTTTAATATCAAGTTGAGAGATATGCCACTAACGAATCGAAGCTACGCAATAAGAGTACGAATAGTAGTTCATTTTTGCAACAAGGAGCAAATGTCCCTCATAATCCATACCAACTGTTAGAGTACCCTTTTGCAGCCAACCTGCTTTGTATCGCTTAATAGATCCATAAGAATTAGTCTTGATCTTATACACCCAACGCACACCAACAACAGTCTTACCAGGAGGTAGAGGAACCAAATCCCAATACCTGTCTTATGCAAAGTAGAAAGTTCCTCATCCATGCTTGCTGCCAAAGAGGATCAAGAATTGCCTCTTTATAGGAAGAGGGCAGAGAGACATGAATAAAAGCTAAAAAGAAGCAAAAGATGAAGAATAACAAGAATATGCAAAATCTGTAACTTTGTGGACTTCGAATGCGTATGGATTGACGTAGAGTGGATCCACAATCTCAGACGAAGCTTGAGTGACCATAGGAGAAAAGGAGCTTTAGGTGTGCTGAGTAAAATGTCAGTACCTACATAATGATCAGTACTAGGAACCTGAGATGACAAACTATCAGATCCTCAGAAAAAGGATCTATACGATTAAGCAAATCTAGTCAAGGTATGAGTAGTGGATGGAATAGAAAAGAAGGTATATACTCAGAAAAACAACATGACGAGACACATAAAGTTCTGAGTTATTGGATCAAAACAACGATACCCCTTTTTACCTTCACCATAACCAAGAAAGACACAAATAACAATCGAGAGATAACTGCTGCGTTCTACATGAGGACGAAGAACGATACAAGTACAACCAAAAACTTTAAAGGAAGAATAATCAGGGGCATACCCCATACAACTTTTCAAAAGGAGAAAAACCTGAAATATGAGAAGATGGAATTGATTAATCAAACCTACAACAGTAAGAACAGCTCACCCCCAAACACACTAGACAGAGGCAGACAATAAGAGAGAACGAGCAGTTTCAACAATGGCCTATGTTTTCTTTCAGCAACACCATTTGCTCAGGAGTATCTGTACACGATGTTGGTGAACAGTTCCATCTAATGCAAGCAACTCACAAAATATTAGAAGTGTATTCTCACCCAAATCACACCTAAAACATTTAATAGCAGAATGTTGGTTTTGACAAGAGCTCGAAGCTGTATTATCTCAAAAATTCAAACGATGTTTCATTAAATAAACCCAACAATAACGAGTATGATCTCAATAAAAGAAACATAATATCAAGACCCTCCTTTTGTGGCAACAGGAGAAGGTCCCCATACATCAGAATGAATCAAATCAATGGAGAAGAAGAATAAATACTTCGATTAAAGTTAAGCTGAAAATTTTGACAGTTATCATCCCTACAATCAAATATCACAAGTTTGCAAATTCCTAAAGCCCCTGTGGATCCAAAAATCTCAAACAGAAGACGAAACAGACCTAAAGAAAATGCCATAAATAAAAACTAGAAGAAGAAGGACTCAAATGAAAATAAGACAAATCACACTAGTAGCGGTAGCATCAGCACTAGTAGCAGCAGCAACTGGCACTTTTAACTCATCCAAAATATATAGTCCCCCCTTCCTACGGCCTGTCCCAATCAGCTTCTGAGACTGTAAATCCGCACATAACAAGAAGAAGAGGAAAAGGTGACTAAATTACCAGAATCACATAACTGACCAACAGAAGCAAGATTTAATGTAAGTTTTGGAATATGATAAACATTAGAGAGAGACAAGTGAGGTGTGACAACAGAACCAACACCTGCTAAAGGCATAGGAGTGCCATCAGCCGTCATGACAGGAATAGAAGACGAAGGAGACACAGAAGTAAAAATGAAGAATCTGGAGACATATGATGTGAAGCACCAGAATCCAAAACCCATACAGAATGTGACACACCTGAAGAATTATGAGGTAACTGACCTACGGAAGAAGAAGTAGACATAGCTTGTGGCTGTAAGGAGAAAAACTTCTGAAATTGCTCAGCCAGAGTACTAGGATCGGTGAAAGGACCTGATGAAACTACTGCTACAGTATTAGACTGTGGTGGTTTGTAACCCTGAGGTGGTCTATAAGCATTAGATTGTGACTGGTTGTCAGGCTTCCAAGCTTGAGATTGCTGCTGCGATTGATTCTGCTGCCTCAACTTAGGACACTGAGCCTTCCAATGACCTTTTTGCTTACAGAAACTGCACTCGTCAAAGGCAACCCTTGTGTAAGGTTTATTCTGATTATTAAAGACTGACTTCGAAGGTACTGCTAACACATAAGGATTAGAAGTAGAAGCAGAAAGAATTCCCTTTTCAGAATGAGACTTAAGACGTATTTCTTCAGCCAATAACTCACTGACAACTGAGTCAATAGAAGGCATTGGAGAACGATGCAAAATTGAACCTCTAAGTCCTTCAAAATCACTGCGAAGTGCCGTTAAAAATTGTACCAACCGTTGCAGCTCCCTATGAGCAATATAGGCACCACATGCCTTTAATTCTGCAGATTCTGTAAGAGCCAATTGATCCCAAAGATCTGTCATAGCTGAATAAAACTCATGAACACTCATATTCTTCTACTAAACAGCTCGTATGTCATTCTCCAATTGATACTGCTTTGCAAAATTTGACTGAGTAAATAACCTTTGTAGATGATCCCAAACCTCCTTTGCTGTCTCATACTTCGCTAATTGTGTACCTATGGAATGCCCAACAGAATTGTTAATCCAAGTACTAATTTTTGCATTGTTTGCTTCCCAAGTATCTATCAAAGCATCATAACCCTCATCAGTATTCTTAGGTTTCACAGAAGTTCCACTAACATATCCCCACATCTTTTTACCCTTAAGAAGATATCTCATCACATAACTCCAATACGAATAATTCTTGTCATCTAACCTCACACTTACAGACTGAAGCGAATCGTCTCTTTCAGTAGCCATATTCAAACAACAAAGAAAACCAGAATGCAAAAGAAAGAAAAACGAAATACCAGATTACCGAAATTGAACGAATACCAACAAAATACCAGATTGCCGAAATTGAACGAATACCAACGAAATACCAGATTGCCGAAATTGAATGAATACCAACGAAATATCAGATTGCAGAAACTAAACGAATACCCTCTCCAAAAATTTTGCTTAAGCTATATTTAAGATTAAGCCTCGTCCCATGAAATTTTGCTCTGATACTATGTTAAACAATCCAAAGAAATAATAATAAAAAAGAGGAGGCTAGGGTTTCATTGATACTGCACAATTCAATTGAATACAAAAAGTATGATTTAACCTAAATACAAAGATATATATAGGCTAAACAAAGGAAATAATGAAAAGACAGATCTACCCTTAATAAACAATAAAACAAAATAACCCATATTTCTTAACATAAACATCACTATTGCAGAAGTTATAGAATATACTTACCTAAGCTTGGGAGTTGAGACAATTTCTTCATTAATCTCGCATACTTGGAGAGCCGTCGAACAAGCTAAAGTGAAACCCTGGTAAGTTGCAGATTTGAAGGCACGCTAAACATACTTAATCTATCCCAAAACGACAGCGTCTCGTTAGAAAGAGCTTTGAGTTTTTTAAATACGACTTTTCGTTCTGACTGTAGACTTGGCAAACGGGCAAGTATGGTTCGGGTCACCCGTAAAAAATTCTGATGAGTCGACATTTGCATGATCCGTATCCGCCAGTGCGGGTACGGGTCACCCGCGGGTCGATATGTTGACTATTTATCATTCAACTCCAAGTTGGGTTCTGTTAGTAAATTCTTCTTTCAGACTGTTTTGTGGAAGTAAATTGCTTGCTTCTTTCTTTTTTTTCTCCTTCTCTGTATCCATACCCACCCACCCACCTCTTCCGAAAAATTTAGTAAATATTTGTTTTTTCTATCTGGGTTTTTGAGAACAAAGAAGAAGAAGATGGGGCTTTCAAATTTTCCTAGTGCAGCCGAAGGGATGCTACATGTGCTAGTAATGAACACGGTTTTATCAGTGGCTTTGTTGAAAAACATGGTGAGATCTGTGATTCAAGTGATGGGTGGTACATGGAGTAATCCTTCAAATCTAGAGGATGAAAGTAGTGATGGATTTAGTAACTTTAACTCCCTAAAGAATGCAAGAGAAAGAAGAATATCAATAACACAGTTCAAGTCTTTGTGTATTGGAAGAAATAATAGGAATACTAGTGTTGGTAGCAGTGTTACAGTGGATTGTTGTGTTTGTTTAAATGGATTTGAAGCTGATGAGGAGGTGAGTGAATTGTCCTACAAGCATTTCTTCCACAAAGGTTGTTTAGACAAATGGTTTGATAATAATCACACTACTTGTCCTCTTTGTCGATCTATTCTCTACTTATGTATATTTAGCTGCCGTGACCTGACTGCTGCTGCTGTTGCCATGAGAGAATGAGCTGTCGTGAGAGAATGGGCTGCCGTGACCTGCTGCCGTGCTGCTGGCTCCTACTGCTGTAGTGAGAGAAGTGAGAGAATGAGGGAGAGTGGAGCTGCTCTGCTGTTGTGAGAGTGAGAGGAGTGGTCGTGGAGCTGCTGTGAGAGGAATGGTCGTGGAGCTCCTATGGCCTGTGAGAGAAGAGAATGAGCTGCTGCGTTTTTTGTTTTTTTCACTGATAATTGATAAGTTTTCGTTTAGATTAGGGTTTGAGAGTGAGACTTTGAGACTGAGAGTGATAAGTTTTATTTTATTTTTTTTAAATTTCAAATTTGCGGGTCCGCAGGTGGTACCCGGTCCACCCGCAAAAGTCATGGGCGGGTACGGGTCAGATTCTTATGGGTCGAGAGGTATGTTATCTATACCCGCCCGTTGGGTAAGGGTACCCATTGACCCGTGGGTATGGATGGGTATTTGCCAAGTCTAGTTCTGAGGCAATTGGGTTTGGGCTAATTCAATATCTTGGCTTGTTTTTTTATTTTGGATTGCACTTTGTGAATAATATTGGGTAGTTGAATAAGGGAGTATTACGAGGTAAAATTTAAAAATTTATAAGAAAACCCCATAGGTTTGCTAATTTAACTAAACATCCCAATATATAAAAATTTTGTAAAATAAGAAAAACACTCCCACCACCCGCAGTGTCAGATTCTAGCCACCACCGTCGGAATCTGGCCAAAAAATTGCGTAACGACACATACCGGTCGAATCTGACGGGTATGACGTCGATATGGCATTTTCCGACCAAATCCACCACGGATCTGGCCGAAAAAGGCCAAATGTGGTCGTCGACAACCGCAAAAGTCTATCTTTGTCGTCAGCAACGGTCAAAGATATGGCCGTCGTTGTCGGTCAACGACATCGTTGACCGTCAATGACGACTAGATCGGTGAATTACCGGCCAGTTTCGGTCATGGTGTAAGCCGTTGTGACAGATAACGATGGTGGTTTTCGGAATCTGACAAGTATAAGTCAATGGGGGTGTTTTTGTTAATTTTTAAACTTTATTTCTAAGGGTATTTAATGAAATTAATAAACTTAAGGGGACTAAAAATAATTAAAAAAATATAGTAATATTTTTCAAATAATATGCCAAACAATATTTGGGGAATAGGATTAGGAATATGGGTAGATATATGCACCCAAAAGTTCTTATTAGCATCACATAAAGGATGGGGGCAAATTTTACAGGAATATACAAAGTATTTTGGACGGACAACTATATTTCATCAATCTATAGTTCCATTCTTTTGATTTAAAATCAGCAAAAGAAATCGATAAATGGTGAAAATAATTGAAAGGTTGCCTGAGACTATCAGACTTACAAATTTCTGGCACCTTTGTTTTACCACAAAATGCATGAATTTGAGTTTATGTAAATTCTGTTGGGGAGGAGATTTAGCTCCACCTCCCATCTTTTCTACTTCTGGGTGCNACATCAGAACTTGTTGCAGTTGAACTCTTCAATGGCGGCAACAACAAACTCTCCTCCATATTTTTATTCTTCTCCGAGTCTCCCGTGGCACAAACCTCAAACTCCTACTACGTACACTCCACAGCCTCCTCAGGCTAATTTAATTTCCAGCCGCCTCTTCTCTCTAATAATTATGTATAGAGAGAGAGAGAGAGGGAGAAGAGTTGTATGACTTCAGCTTTCTCTTCAATATATATGTATATATTGAAAAAATATTTTGAAAATTTTAACGCAAGGAATGTTAAGAAGAATGTGTATAATGGGATCTGTCTGCAGTCTTTACAAGTTTTAGTTTAGCAATTAGGGGCACTTTGTAATCTTTACAAGTAATGATGTAACTTCTGCAATTTGTAAAAGAGCAGCTAATCCGCTGCGTTTTGTAATAAGGGCAATATAAATTGGCCGCCTGGTTTCTGTTTTGGCAGTTAGTGAAATATCAAGTTTCCAGAACTCTTTCTACTTTACTCTTTTGCTTTTCGTGTTTTTCGTTTCTTTTTCTTCCTTCGGTGATCCTGAAATTAATCAAGGAATAAGATATTTAATATGAATCAAACTTATATAGTATTTCATGTGTTTTATAATGAGATTGATACTATTTACTTTTTTGTAATGGGGTAATTTATAGGGATGGGCACGGGCCGGGGACCCCTGTCTTCGGCCCCAACCCGAAAGCCCAAGGAGAGTTCTCGATCCCGGCTCATAGTCTGTTCGGGGAATCCCCGGATAAAGGTCGTTCCCCAAACGAGGAATTCGGGGGTTCTCCGAATTCCCCGTTTGACCCCCGAATTCCCCGTTTGGGGGTTTTGTGTCCTTATTACCATTTTCTCCAAATTATAATATACTATTCAAAAAGAAATTAAATTTATAATGTACATATTAAACATAAAGACCATCATACTAAATTGATAATATATTACAATATGTGACAAATCTATAATCAAATATTCAAGACATGAGCTGCCAAAAAGACTCCCACAATCTACATAAGTAGATTCAATACATCACACTATCAAGATTCAACAACCAGCAAACAGCACCTAACATTCCATTTCCATGTGCAGCCCACGAACAACCTGTAGACAAATTTTAGATTATTACAAACCTAAAAAAAATCTAAACCATATTAAATTGCATACAATTAAAATATGAAGAAATAAACCTATTACATATGAAATCTAAAACTTTTCACCAAAAGTATCCATATCATCAAAATTATACCACTTCAATTTCGTCATAAACAAGTGAAAAATATAAATTAGATGATATTTAAGTAACATGTACACAAATTTTAACTATCATACAAATGACTAAAGAAGAGGAAAGAAAAAGAATATATTACAAACTGCACTGCACAGTAGATGCAAAAGCAAACTACAGTGCAGTTTGCTTGTGCGAACTGTAGTGCAATTTCCTTATCAATCTGCAGTGCAGTTTGCACTTTGCATAGGCAAACTACAATGCAGGTGCAAACATAAATTGCACTGCAATTTGCATAATTGCACTTTACACAATGCACAGCAGGTGCAAACATAAATTGCAAATACAAAATTTTCAAGCACATAAAATCATCAATCACACGAATCAATCTAAACCCTTAAACCCCACATAAAATATTCAATCATAACTCAATTAATCTAAACCCTTAAACCCCACATAAAATCTTCAAGCATAACTGCAATGCATAACTCAATCAATCAATCTAAATGGCACATAAAATCTTCACTCATACAAACCAAAACTGATGAAAGCTTGAAACTTTAAAGGAAAACAAACCTATTTTTCGTGAATCTTGATGCAAAGGGCACAGAGAAAGAAGAGGTGAAGAGCCACCGATGAAATGTGGAGGCCGAAATCGGCGAAGAGACGATGATATTCCGGTGAAGGTTTGACAATGAAAAGGTACACCAGGCGACTACGTTTTTACTAGATAAGGGATTTAGGGTTTCAACTTTCAAACTTTGATTACACTATTCCATCATGAGTTGAGTTGAGTTGTGGATTTGGGCACAATTTGTGTTTATAAATAAAGGGCAAAACTGTTATTATGAAAACATAACAAGGGAAAATGATAATTACGTAATGGAAATATGGAATTGAAAATTTGAAATAATGATTAAATCATTTAAAATGAAGGACAAGGTCCACACTCCACAAGGCATCAAGGACTTTATTTATAATGATTAAAAAAAATTATAATGATTTATGCATTTATTATAATCAATAGCGGATCTAGAAATTTCTGTTAGGGTAGGTCAAAATAAAAACTAATTACACATTAATATTTTTTTTTCAATTAATAATTCTATTAGGATGGGTCAAAGTCCAAAAAATGTACATATTAGTATTATTTTGTTAAAATATCCACCCTCAACTAAGTATTGGATCCACCCCTGGTTAATGATTATAATGAATCAAAATATAAAAATAATAATTATGACACATTATACATATATACAAATATATTATATATCAATAGTATAATATTATGTATTATTGTATTAAGTAATAAGTATTAACATATGACATTATGATTACGGATCATAGCATATTATGTATAATGTATAATTTTTGTTTTATAGCATATTATGTATAATGTATAATTTTTGTTTTATAACATATTATGTATAATGTATAATTTTTGTTTTATAACAAATTATGTATAATGTATAATTTTTGTTTTATAACATATTTTGTATAATTATAATATATAATGTATTATAATAAATTCTATAGATTACCATATATATTATAATGTCTCATTAATATTTTAAATAACACACACACACACACACAGAGATATATATATATAAAAAATAATGTATGATAATACATAATATATAATGTATTATAATAAATTATACCATATATATTACAACAAATTCTAAATAAATAGCTATCATAATATAACAAGGGCAATTAGGTAATAGAATTGAAATAATGATTTAATAAGGGACAAAATAAAAATTATAATGATTTATTGATTTATTATAATCAATCAAAACACCAAATGATATATTACACATATATAACATATAGATATATATTGTGTATTAACATATGATTATAGATAATAACATATTATGTATAATGTATAACATATATATGTTATATACATTATACTTATATATCACGTCCATTTGTAATCTTTACAAGTAATGATGTAACTTCTGCAATTTGTAAAAGAGCAGCTAATCCGCTGCGTTTTGTAATAAGGGCAATATAAATTAGCCCGCCTGGTTTCTGTTTTGGCAGTTAGTGAAGTATCAAGTTTTCGTTTCTTTTTCTTCCTTCGGTGATCCTGAAATTAATCAAGGAATAAGATATTTAATATGAATCAAACTTATATAGTATTTCATGTGTTTTATAATGAGATTGATACTAATTACTTTTTTGTAATGGGGTAATTTCTAGGGATGGGCATGGGCCGGGGACCCCTGTCTCTGGCCCCGACCCGAAAGCCCAAGGAGATTTCTCGATCCCGACCCGT